CCCATCTCTCCCCATCAGCTGTTGATCTTCAAACAGGGTCCCATGGTCATAGAAACCAAAACCCTGTTGCCAACACCAGGGGCGCAGCCAGTTGTTCACTTGGAAAACGCGCCTACTCCTCCTCCCATCCTTTGCCCTCACAGGCAAGATTGAGGAGAAAACGACCTGGGCTCCCAGACCCTTGACCACCATCCCCAGAGCTCTGAAGTCCTGTTTGATGGTTTCCAGTTTGCCTTTTGTGTCGTTGGCACCCACGTGGAAGATCAGCAGAGGGTAGTAGTCCAATGCATGGACAAGCCTTGGCAGTCTTTCCACAACATCTCTTATTCAAGCCCCTGGCTCTAGGCCTGGCTCTTATATAGGCCTCTGCCTAGCAGTGACTCACAAGGGTGCTTGACCCACCCAATCAGGAGCCACCTGAAACAAAAGCCCCAACTCCCTCTGACCAGGGCAGCCCAGAGAGCTCGTTAGCAGCAGCCCCACCTAGCTAGAACTTCCCAGGAGAAGTGAAGTCAAGGTCCCCTGCAGGAGTCCTTGCCTAGCTCTCCCTTCCTGCTAGCAGCAAGCACCGTCTAGTTCCTCGGGGGTCCCCAGAAAGTCTCCACAACTTCCAACAAGGCCCACAAAAGGCCCAGGCAGAGCCCAGACGTTGCTGCGCAAACTGCTGCGTCTGTTCGCAATTCTCTGTTGGCTGCACAAGAGTACAGGCAATCCCAATGACCTGCAGGTGAACAATAGTGTGCATGCAAAGGGAGCAAAGCTGATGCTCTGCCTGCTTTGAAAGTTTGACTTTCTTGCTTTTTGTCTTTGTTTTACATTTTTAGAAAAGCTTATACATAAACACTATACAAAAACTGTAGGATGGCCTGTTTCTAACTCGCACGCTGCCTGCTGTTTTGATTAGAGCTTTCTGGCTTGTTTTGGACTTCCAGATTTCAAGAGTCCAGGCTAATAAAGAATAGAAAATGTTAGAGATGAAAAGCAGTAGAGTAAAAGCAGGGACAGAGGGAATGTTGGGCAGGGGGAGTGGGTAGGGGAAGAAGAGAGAGCCTTTGCATGTGCTCTGAACTGGCATTTGAGGCTTTTGGGAAAGGCTGTGATCATGGGAAAAGTTTGTTCCCTGAAATGGCCTTGTCCACTTCTCCCAGCAGACAGCTGCTGGTATCTTGGCTGTTTCCTTGTTGCTGTCCATAGGGGGATTTTAGCTTTTTACCTTGACCAGTTCCTTCTCCCTGTTCTGCTCCAGATGAGTCGAGCTCCAGTGGCGGACGGCAGCTGTCTTCCCCAGAGCATGGGCTACAGGCTGGTTCAGACACTGACAGCTCTGTTGAGGAGGAGAGTGACTTTGACACCATGCCAGAAATTGAAAGTGATAAGAACGTCATCCGCACTAAGGTACAGCTGGTGTTGCAGCCGTGGCCACGAGTCTGGGCCATGGACACGGCTGGACCAGGAGTAGCACTAGAGTCCCTTGCCGCAGTTTTTAAGTTTCCCTTTCCCTCTTTCATGGATTTCATGTAACACAGATGAATGTATTTTTAGTGTTCTTCCACAATCTAGAAAGTCTTCCTGATGTGCTAAGTGCACTACTAAAATGAGTGATTTAATATGGAAAACCAGAAGCATTTTGGGAACTATCAAGAAAGAGGAAGGAAGCCCACCCAGAGTGTCCCAGAAACCAAGGTGGTGGGACAGCATGAGGGGAAAATAACGTGCAATGGTAGATAGTTAACTAGCAGGAGTAGCATGCTGCAATAGATGTGCCGGAATCAAATGACTGATGCAAGTTCTGTGACTTAAGCTAGCATATCTCAGAAACTGCCTTCTTCTGTCACCCCACACTGCTCGTTGGGTGTTAGAGATCAGAGCCACTCCTGGAGCTCATTAGAGGATTTTGTAGAATTTGTCCTCCATAGAATAAAGGGATACAATGAGCATTTCTTGCATCATTGTGTAAATGAGCATTTCTTGCATCATTGTGTAAAAACTGTCCAAATTGAATGTTGTCCAAACGCATCAAGATATTCTACTGGCTTCTGCCTTCCTCATTAGTGTTTTTCCCCCTCCCCCTTCCCTCTTTCCCATCCCACTAATATTTCAGGTGTTCCTCTATTTGTCAGACTTGTCCAGGAAGGACCGAAGGATTGTCAGCAAAAAATACAAAATTTATTTCTGGTAAGGAGAAGATAACCTGGTAAAGCTCCAGTCCGGTATTTGGTTTTTTGGTTGTGGACTCTCCATCTGTGTCCACGTGCTCTTCTGAACCATGCTTTAGGCTTGAAGATGCTCTGAGCTGTCCTGTTATGCACTCTGACCCTGTTCCAACCATTAGCTGCAGATCTCACATACCTCAAGTGAGGATATTTGTGGACCAGTGCACACATGTCTGTAGATGGATACTGGTTTGTGAAACGGCTCTAAAGTGCCGTCACAAGCAGTGCATTGGAACATACAAGGAAAGGCGGAACTAGCATTTAAACACACATGCATGTGATCCACGTGCTGGCTTTTCTTGTGCCCTTAGCACTTGCCTCCTGTTGGACAGCATTAGTGTGTTTGCTCTTCTGCTTCAGAAGATTGTAACTGGGGCTGACGTAAAGCTCTGACTGGCAGGTTTGCTGGGAGATAAGGATCTATGTCCTTAGGCACTGGGGTGTATGCCCTAGCTCTATGAGTGCTGTGGGGCTCTGTGCTGGGTGTGTGTGGTTGTGCTGGCGTGTGTAACTGCCGCTGCTGCTTCCTCCCTGCAGGAACATCATCACTATTGCGGTGTTTTACGCCCTGCCAGTAATCCAGCTCGTCATCACCTACCAGACGGTGCGTCGGCCTCTGCATGGCTGTCCCCTGGGCCTGGGTTTTCTTACCTTTAAACCCACTCTGCGTCTGCATGGTGCAAAGACAATTACAGTGAAATGGGGTCACCAGGAATCCCGCTTGATGTCTGAGGAGCAATTTACTTTAGCTGCTCTCTCTGCACCAGGTGCTGAGCCCTGCTACTGGCCTGGCATGCTGAGCTTGCAGTTCTTCTGTTATTTCTACCTGGAAAGCTGGGAGTACAGTTGTCTTCCTACCTCTCTGATGTCTTATTTGGGGCCTGTTTCACTTTTGAGGCAGGAGGAATAACTTGTTATTTCTAAACTGTACTTATTTTCAGTTGTCTACCAGATCTATTGTGATATGAGTGATTTCCACCTTTCCCTCCCCCCTGCCCTGCTTTCCCCCGTACCATCCTGCTGCTATTCAGAGATCCACAAGCAGATCTATTTCTCACTCCTTGTTCTATTAGTGGGGCCAGGGGGAAGCAGGGGTGAGGACACACAATGTTTCCTTTGGAGACTACTTTCAGGTTTGTGGCCCATGTCAAGCTCTTGCCCCTATAGAAGGTTCATTCATAAATACTGCTACTCCCCTGTGCTTGAGGTAGGTTGCATCCTAGTCTCTAACATGCATCTTTGAGGCACAGTGGGCCTTTACACAGTGACTTTCTTCTAAAATGTTGGCATCTGGTCCCTGCTCTGCCCCAAGCGTTTGAACTAGGCAAAGAGAACAAAAAAAGACTAGCTGGAATTCAGACCAGTCAAGGGCTTGGCTGAAACAACTCACTCTGGTCCTGTCCAAAGCACCTCTGGGCTGCTGTCACAGGCTTTGCTGCTTTTCAGGACTTTGGTCTCCAAGCTATAGTGTGTTGTGAAAAGCCATTTGTGAAGTGTAGTGGTTGCGGAGCTGCAACCTGGGAGTGCCATATACCCAGTATGGGGTTTACACCTTGTGTGCATGCTGGTACACAAAGCAGAACCCTCAAAACAGGGAGGAAGTACTAACATTGGGTCTCTTGCCTCCTCTCTGCCCAGGTAGTAAATGTGACAGGCAATCAGGACATCTGCTACTACAACTTCTTGTGCGCTCACCCCCTTGGGGTGCTGAGGTGAGTGAGCACTGTGGTCACTGTGATATTGCCCTGTGTGTCCTGCATGTTTGTGCTGTGCCCAGGTCTTGATTTTGGCCTTGCTGGGCTTACAGCATCCATGCTGATAAGACTTTAGGGCTCATAGCAGTCTCCTTGAGCTTTCTGTTTAGCTTGGCTATGGCTTTCTGTTGCAGTGAGACACAGGTACCCAGGAACATGTGGTACCTGAGTTCCCCCAGCAAATCTACTAGGAAGCAATGGAGGGCTCCTGGGTGCTTTTGAACACTTTCATATGCACCCAAGGAGCAGCAGCTCTGCAAAGAAGTTGAGCTCAGTCCTTTCAGTGCAGCATTTCTCTCACCTAACATGGGAGTGAAGAGAGCCTAGAGTTGGGAATTCCCAGACCCGAATCCCAGTGAGATTCCCAGAAAATGTTTAAATCCACTGAGCCAGGTAAACTACTCAACCTAAAACTGTCGTGCAGCATGTAAAACTAACATATGTGTTTGGCAGCTGCCAAGGTGCAGGATGGTGAGGAGAGCAGAGCAGACATGCAATTTGTTGTGGCCTGGAGTTTAACCTCCAGGTGCTATGCTATCTCTGTCTTAAACCTTCTTATTTTTGGCAGTGCCTTCAACAACATCCTCAGCAATGTGGGCCACATGCTGCTGGGCTTTCTTTTCCTTCTGATTGTGTTGCGCAGAGACATCCTCCACCGTCGGGCCATGGAGATGAAAGACATCTATACCCTGGTAGGGAACGTGGTTGCATAGGACCTAGTAGAGGGAAGAAGGATAGGGAGAATTTGGAAGCCAAATAGAGCTACACAGTGGGTTTCCATTTGCCTGCCTTGATGAAGGATAAGAGTCCTCCTCCTTTTCCCCACCTGCAAAAAGGTGGAGGTGGAACATTTGTGGTCTTGTATACCCCAGCACTTCACTGTTTCCAGCGTGTCCATGCTGCTGTGATGACCTAGCCTGGGCTTGCAAATACAGAGATTAGTACAGGAATGATTCCTGGGGCTGGGGCTTTTTCCCCAGTGCTTTCTGGGGAAGGAATTGGGACAGGTGAGCTGGCTGGAAGTGTGTCTGGCTCCCTGCCTTGTCCCATGACATGAGGAACAAGTAGTAGGGCAAAGCATCTGCTTTCTAGAGAGGGTAGGAGAAGGCTCCTGCAGACAAAGAGCTAGACCTAGATTTGTAACGGAGCTTGTGAAAGGCATAGCCTGGGAGTTGATATCCTGCTCTTTTGCTCCCAGGGAATGTGGTGTTGCTGTGATCTCCTTTTTTGAACAATAGAAGTGTCCTAAGATGCTTTTGTTCATGTTGGGGTTTGCTTTTTTTCTTCCCTCCCTTGTCTTATACAGTCCAGAGTTCCTTTTTTGCACCCTCATTAGCCAGAGGGCATAGAGCAGCCTACGATAACCCAGAGGAATTGAGTGTCCTGGGACTCTGAACAAGAGCCTGCTATACCCAGGGCCTTTGCAGGCTTTTTAGAATGTCATAGGAGAGACTGGAGGAATCTGCAGCCCTACGGGCAGTGGTGCTGGTGGTTTCTGAACACAGCCGTGTTCTCTTTGACTTGATAGCAAGTAAAGGCCCTAAACCAGTTTTTATGGTCTGCTGCTTATGTACTTTCAGATGAGGTCTGAGCCAGAGATGAGGTGGACATGCCTTCCCACCTGGGCTGATGGACTCTGCTCCTCAGGTGTCCTTAAACCCCCATTGTCCACAAGAACAAGGTCACTATTCTGGGTCTGCAGCGCTGTGTTTTGTGCAGGATGTAGCACCGCACAACGGACAGGGCAGTGAGATTCTGGTCTCAAGATCTCAGTACCAAGACATAGAGGTCTCCGGACCAGAAGTTTCTGTGTGGTTAGCTTGATTTGGTCTGTGTGGATTCAGTGGCTGTGCAAGGTGGCTAAATGCAGAGCCTACAGTTGCACACAGCACACTATGCTGTACTGATGGACGGAGGACATGCGTGGGGGTGGGTAGTGGGGAAGAAGCAAAGGAGAATGGAAATTTGCTTGTGATCAGCATAGTGAGGGATACTGTACTGTGCAGCTCTGCTCTCTTCCAGGACTATGGGATCCCAAAGCATTTTGGTCTTTTTTATGCTATGGGCATTGCTCTGATGATGGAAGGGGTGCTCAGTGCCTGTTACCACGTCTGCCCCAATTACTCCAATTTCCAATTTGGTAAGCTGAGTTGCCTTTCTCCTTTTGAGTTAGAGGCAGGATTTGCTGCGCTCTGAGTTGCTGGTATTTCACATCCTTCTACCCTAGCAAGACTTCCCTGGAGTTTGCCCGTTTCAGGGCCCGGTCAGGAGGTGTTTGGCTTTGGAAATCAGGGGCTAATGCACTTCAGTCTCTTCTCTGGGGTCCTGGGGACTCCAGCAGAGTGCTACTGGCAAGAACTCCCCTTGCTTTTGCTGCTCAGAGTTTGAAGACAGAAATTGCACACCCTTAATGGCTGAGTGCTAGAACCTCAAGTGCTCTGTCCTGCACTGCAGTGGAAAATCTTTTCCTCTGGGGTTCCCTCTGCCTTCCCTGCCTGTTTCTGTGCTGCCTTACATGGGGCACTTCTTTGGGGCCCCTTCATTCTTTATTGTCCCAGAGCATGGTAGAGTCACTGCAGGACAGCAAAGCAAAAGATGCTGTCTAGTGTAACCTAGCATCAGGGCTTCATGTCTACTAGCTTTGGATTTGGCCCTGCCACCACACTTCTCCTTTATATGCAGACTGGAGCAGCTTCCTCAGCCTGCTGGCATTACACATCTTCACCCTTCCTGTTGTGCTCCCTCCACAGACACCTCCTTCATGTACATGATCGCAGGACTGTGCATGCTCAAGCTCTACCAGACCCGCCACCCAGACATCAATGCCAGTGCCTACTCTGCCTATGCCTCGTTTGCTGTGGTCATTTGTCTGGCAGTCCTTGGAGTGGTATGACTCTCTTATCTATCTTCCTCTCTGGGAAGGAGATGGTGCTGCTGGAAAGCTGGCTCAAGTGGAAAAATGGTTGGGGGGAGCAGATGAGTTGGATAAGAGCGTGAAGTAGCTGCTAGCATTTGAATTCCCAATGAGCTTGTTTTTTCCTCCTCTTTTTCCCTGGGCTCACAGAGAGCAAAAGAACTTCTGTCAGCATGCTCCTCTTCAGGTCTCGACCATCACATGCTCCCTTTCCCAAAAAGGGAGGTTCATGCACCAAGGTGTCCATGTACAAGCACACAGCCGGCTTCCCATGGGGAAGTCCTCCTTGGAGGAGTAGGGGTGAGGCTGGCTCAAGCTTCAAAGAAGTGTCCTCTGCCAAACTGCTAGTGTCTTTTTCCCCACTTTGGGAAATTGTGTTGCTGGGCGCAGCTCCTGTAGTTGGCTTTGCTATCTTTGGAGGGATGCAGGGCTAATACAATGGTTTGGGGGCTCCCAGGCAAGCTTCAGGAGTATCTAGCTGTAGAAGGGCAGCGGGGGAGAGGGAGGTGGCGGCTGGAACTGCAAGAGGGTCACCCTTGTGCACCAGCAGTCACTGATGGGTTAGGCTGGTGCGAGGCTTTGCCCATTTTCTCCTAGCAGTGCAGGTACTGAGCTGGCTCGCCCAAGCCACCAACCTGTGCTTGACCTTGGAGGTCTCTGCTCTCTGGAGGCTTGGGGTTTCATTCAGCAGTAACCAGGCAAAAATCCATTGAATTCTTGCTTTGAACTAGCAGCTGTGTCCCAGCAGGGCTGTTAGCCCCTCACTACCCAGCATAATACAAAATACCAATCAATTCTGCGAAGGGTTTGGGTAGAAGATGGGGTCTGTGGGGTAATGCATGCAAGAGCTGCTGATGAACTTGAGATTTTTGAAGAGTCTTTTGATAACTGTAGCATAGCTGCACAGCAAGATACAACACTCTGGGATTATGGGATGCTGTGTGTTATCTTGTCAGATGCTTTGAAGCTGTAGAGTGGAGTTTATAAGCTGCAGGTCTCCCTAACTCCACTCGTGCAGAGGTGGCTTTTCTGCCTCTTTGTAAGTTGTGTGATCACATAAAAGGAAACATTCAGGCATGTGCCCCAGAGGAGGGGAGTGTGTGGGCACAGTCTGACACCAGCCCTGAGTTTCTGGACACCTCAATGTATAACTGAAATATTAAGGTTTTAATGTAGCATTAACTTGGATTTCTAGGTAACTTCCAGTCCTTAAATAAACTTAAAGTGCATGATAGGAGCAACTGCCTGCACAGCAGCTTTGTCTTTTTTGGAATAAAGATAACCATTTGCTCCATTGCTGAATAGCATGACTGGCTCTTCAGAATCTGCCACACACAGATCGTATCTGTCTGACACTTTCTGTACCTGAATTAGGTGAGAGATCTCTTGAAACAGTGGGATAGTCTCACCTTTGAACCTCTGAAGAAAGCGTGTGTCTTGGAGATCATTTGATTTAGGCTGTGCTGGAAATGATGATAGGCTGCTACAATGCACTGGTTAAAGTAACAGCTGGGTTCCCTGACTGCCTGTCTGTAAAATCCAGCTCCAGGCCTGAGAGCTGCTGCCCAGAAGCAGGTAGGGATCGCTTAGGCCCGGAAGTCCCTACACTTCCGCCCCATGAGCCAACAGTCCTTCCAAATTGCCAGCCCTCACTGAAGGGGTACTTAAAAAGAATGGTCTCTTCTCCAGAAGTGCTGAGCTCCTATTGCTTCTTTGGACTTTGTCCGGATTTATAGATCCGTCTTCAGGTTGGAGGATTTGGAGGTTTCTCTTCTATGTTCAGTGAAGATTTCTGATGCCCCAGGGTGATGGGAGGGGCGGGGGAGAAGGGGAAATGACAGGCCAGCTGATAGCAGGGCTCGATTTGCTCTTAATGTGTTTTTGCTTTCAGGTGTTTGGGAAAAATGACATGTGGTTTTGGGTCATTTTCTCAATGATCCATGTTTTGGCCTCTTTGGCTCTCAGCACTCAGATCTACTACATGGGCCGCTTCAAGATTGGTAAGTGCTGCGATTGAATCGTTGTTCTGCGGTGTCCAGGTACCTTCTGTTTTCACCTGCACAAGTGACTTCTGCAGCATTTGGTGCCTGTGTGAGCCCCATCCCATGGCCTGTGCTTGTGTTCTGGGTTGGCCCATCCTCTCCCTCATCTGAGGTTCTTTCTGGCCTCCAAAGTCCATATGCTGGGTTTTCGCAGATCTGTGGGAGTCAGCAGGACCAGGCTGCCCTGTGGCAGCCGGAAAAGCTGGCCTCCCTCCCAAGGAACATGCCGTATAGCTACAGCTCCCCCTTGTGTTGTGCTCAGAGGGGCAAGCTAGATAAACCCCATCGTGGGGTGAGGGGGGTCAGCTGGGGAACCTGGCTCTTGTGCTCTGCTTACAAACGTGTTTCTCCTTCCTCTTCTGTTCTCATCTGCCTCAGATGCCCCTGACTCAGGTAACTGGCAGCAGCTCCCATTCTTCTCTGGGGAAGTGACTGAACAGTGATGTAGCAGCCAGGGCTGCATGGATGTGGGGGGGAGGCAGCCCCACGCACCCTCAGGGGCTGGCTCTTGAAGTGAAGTCAGTTTGCCAGCAGCATGGCTTGTCCCTCTTCCTTGACAAGAGGAGGATGATATAGTGCAGGAGAGCTCTGTTCTTAGCACAAGGAGCCTTTTTAGCTCCATGTTTGTGTCTGAAGAGGGGTGTGTGTGTGCATGCATATGCATGTCTGTCCATCCTCACTGCCACTGATGGCTCTCTAATGAAGCCTCTGCAATGACTTTTGTGGGCAGGAGTATCCTGAATACATGCTGCTTCTCCAGGACCCTCTGACTGAGGGATGAGTGTCTGCCATGTTTCCCTTCTATGGCAGCTTGTTCCACAAAAGGCATTTTTCCCCTTGCTACACATGCTTCTCCTCCAGAGAAGTGGCTGCAAAGCCGTTCTGTTCACACATATAGATGGCCTATTTGAATCCTGGGCCATGCCGCTGTCAAGGGGTGATGGCTTTTTAACCTGTCATCCTGGCCAAACGTTGTCCGTATCCCAAATGTGGTGGCTGCCTTACTGCTCAGCGCAAACTGCTTCCCAAGGGCCAGAAATGAACCTGTGGACTACCCTGCTACTCTGCAGGTTGGGTCCTCTGCCAGCCAGTGAGTGCTCACTTTTCCCCCCGTTTGGCCACTTGGAGCTCACTCTGCTGGCTGTATTTGGTTTTTTTATCCTCTTTC